CCCCCCCAGACACACACACGCACACATATATATGTATATATATATATATATATAATATAAACACTCCATATCTCCATATTCATGCTCAATAACACAGGTAGAACATTTCAACAAAATTGTCAGGTCCTCTGGATGATTTCTTTGCCATCCAGAAACCATCAAGAAATGGTACCGTCTTTACCATAAATAAACCGTTCAGAGTATCTGACTTAACTTTGTTGGATTCCATGTCTTCATTAGTACATCTTTGGCACCATCATGTTCATGTTCTGCAGAGAGTGGTGAAGGCTGCACAGAAGACTGTTGGAGTCAGCCTCCCCACCATCACATATATCTACACCTCCAGATACAGGAAGAGAGCCACCTGCATCATGAATGACCCCACTCACCCAGCACACACACACACACACACACACACACAAACACACTTTTTGCCCTGCTCCCCTCAGGCAGGAGGTTGCAGAGCATTAAATGTAGAATCACTAGACTGAGGAACAGCTTCTACCCTGAGGCTGTTAGACTCATACCAGAAAAATCATTGTAATGCCACTTTAATTGGTGATATGTCACTTACTCTCAGTTGCTGATTATCCATGCTGCTGATTTCTTGCCTTTAAGCTGCTGTATTCATACCCATCTGCTCACAACAGACTCATGTTTAGGTTGCTGTTTAATACACCATATTATATTAAATTATTATTAGCATATATCTTAATTCCTTGTATACTGCTTTTTTTATTTTATATTCTTGCTATTTTTGTGTGTAACTAGGACCTTGAGTACACAATTTCGTTCCACCTCATATACCATATGTGATGTGAATGACAATAAAGAACCTTGAACCTTCATGTGGCAGTAGATGCTCTTATGTGTTTTCATGCTTTTCTGCGTCTGTTTTTCAGAGTATGATTTGGAGCCTTGCGAGGATCCTGGAATCCCACCCTACAGTACCAGAAAAGGCCTTCAGTATGGAGTCGGCGATGCTCTCATCTTTTCTTGCTTCCCAGGTTACAGGCTCGAGGGTCCGGCGCGGGTGGTATGCTTAGGCGGCAGGAGGCGAGTGTGGAGCTCCCCTCTGCCAAGGTGTGTTGGTAGGTGGTCACATGTTTTTTGGGCTTTTGTCATCCAACACCCTCCCCCACCCTCAACACCCGCCCCCAACCAAACACACACAGAGAACTCCCTGTCCTCTCAGCACGGGTCTCTTCACATACTTTCACAATTTAAGCAGTCCACGAAAAGCAGCGTGGTAGATTTATTTTTGTTTTTGTTATATCTCATTAACGTTCCTTTATACACCCACGTTTTGTCTCCTCATTGGATAGCTTCCCAGAGCCAGCTTGTGTGCGACTTTTTCCTAATTTTACAGGGCAGCAGTTTTAATGAGAGTGACATCAAAAAGCTGAAATGGGTTAATTATAGATGTAACTTCTTCCTAATGCATTTGAAAATGACAGGTCAAGATTTAGGTCAGATTGCTGATTTTATGACACAACAAACATTTACTGCTATTTTTATTTGTTGGCATGAAATGAAATTGGATGCCAATGGACATGATCATAGTTAAATGACAATTACCGACCTGCTTCTGTTTGTCATGTGCGCGCCTCACTGAAGTTTGCTGAAAGTACTGTTCAGATGTTTTGATGAATGAAAACTTTGAAAAGAACATTTAAATCTTAATACACATTAGTTTTCATTAAAGACACTGAAGGTATCAATTAGTTTCATGTTGCTTGTTTTAACACTTTAGTTAAGCTTACACTAGATCAATCAACTTTCACAAAAAAAAATTAAAAAATCATGTAAATAGCTTCCTTGTTGTGCTCATGTTTGTTGTCTGTACCTTTAGGCTGCCAGTTTGTAGTTTCTTGATGCCTCTGTCTCTTGATGGAATCTTTGAAGTATGACAGCGAAGAGACATTTCGATATTTTCACTTTTTTTACAGCATGCCCTATTTTAGAAACTTGCTACTTTTCCATCAACCCAGTCCTATCTTACCTTATTATACTGTCTGTGCTGCATTCATGGTGTTAAAAGCCAGACTACATTTGTGGTCATTTTAATTTTAGTAGCAATTTTGCCCTAGAAAATATTGTCAGTTTTTGACTTTTTCTCCCCCTTTATGTGACTCATGAATAGCAATTTTTGGATAGAGCTGAAATTACAGTTAATCATATTCAGATTGCAGTGTGATTATGATGATGTGCCACTCAACATTCAGGTACAGTCAGTGACCATAGTCTTCTCCCCATCACCTCTCCCCTCTCCATGTGCATGACAGCATGAATAAATACACTTTGAGTTTCAAGCATATAGCGATTGACATGTCCTCTGCTCCCTCCAACACCACTTCTCCCTCTGTCTGTCTCCGCCTGGATCTCCGCTCCCTCTCTTTTTCTCTAGCTGAATGTGGCTCATCCGTGACTGGCATGCAAGGGGTGCTGCTCTCACCCAACTACCCTGGTTACTACGGCAACAACCACGAATGCATCTACTCTATCCAGACACAGCCAGGCAAAGGCATTCAGCTACGAGCACGGGACTTTAGGCTGGAGGAGGATGATGTGCTCAAAGTAAGCTGGTTGTGGAAGATGTCTCCTGTGCAAATGTTTTGCAGCCTTGTTAGCATATAAGTGTTTGCACACTTGATGCTGCTTTTCTTTCATTCACTCTCCCTCAATCTCCACCTTCCAGGTCTTTGATGGCAGTAGCAGTAAGGCTCGTCTCCTGGGGGTGTATACAGGCAACGAGCTGCTGGACACAATCTTGAACTCCACCTCCAGCTCCATGTGGCTGGAGTTCATCAGCAATGCTGAAAATACCAGTAAAGGCTTTGAACTGCACTTTACTAGTAAGCAGCATCCTGTGTCTAAGACATAGAAGGAAGTTTTTATTCATTTTTTATTTTTATATATAACTTATTTTCCAACACTCTTTGCTGTTCTTCACATTCAATTTTCATTTTCTCTGCATTGTCTTTCACTCTTTTTTTAAAGGTTTTGAACTGGTTAAATGTGAAGATCCAGGTGTTCCCCAGTTTGGCTACAAGCGAGACGATAAGGGTCATTTTGCAGGGAGCACAGTGTCGTACAGCTGTGACCCAGGTTACACCCTGAAAGGGCCAGGGGTGCTCACCTGCCTGAGGGGAGAGCGGAGGGCCTGGGACAGCCCACTTCCATTATGCGTTGGTCAGTTTTTACTGGTTTTATCCCAGATGTACTTTTAATGTCTGATCATGATTCTAGTTTCTAAGTTTATGTAATTTTACATGTATATGAACAAAACCATCAGAAGAAAAAAAAGTAATTTTGTGTTAGCAAGTCTCGTCAATAAGTTATTTAAACACAACTTTAACTCTGCAGCATTTAAGCCTAATTGTATCAGATCAAATACAGTTCAGTAAATAGTAAAAATACAAATACAAAACGAAAGAAATTGATTGTGTATAAAAACTTATCCAACAGGAAGTTAAAATCCCCAACAGAAATTACCCAACCCTATAAAGTAAGATGAAATCAAAGCTTCTATTTATCTTAGGTCAGTAAACTATTACCTTTTCTTACATCACTACATTTTTTCTCTCTCTTTTATTTTAAATAAGGGAAAAATGTTGCCTTATGTTGCGTAATAGATCATCTTACAGTATTTAGCTGTGTTCTTTGGACTGTTATGCTCAATGCTAATCCAACCAGCTTTAAGTCTTTCTGACCCCGTTTCTCGTCTTAATGAAAATATTAATGATTCAGGTTCAGAAAAGCTTTGAGGTTTGTTGTATACGTACAGTATATCTTGTTTGGGGGGGAGGGGCTGTATTTTTTCATTTACCTTTATTTATCCAGGTAGTCTCATTGAGCCACGAGAACTCATTTTCAAGAGAGACCTGTTTAGGGAGCAGATGGTGGTTAAAGGCCTTGCTCATGGGCCCAGAGTGGGGCGAATGATTTTGTTTACTTGTTTCCTATTATAATTGTACAAAGTAAAACAACAGCTTAGTTTTCAGCATATCTGTATTTATTGTTAAATATAGATTACATAATAGTTTATTTTATTATTTATTACTTTATTATCATTATTTAATTTACCAAATTAATATTTCCATATAACAAAAACACTGAACACATGGGAACAAGGTTTAAAACTGTCCGTTTCTTTTGAGCATCTACACATTTCTATGAAAAGTTGAAAATACTGTAGATTCAAAAGACACTCATCTGGATTTTCATGTACTGGTTTAAATTTATTTCTTTGTTTCTTTGTTTGCTTATTTGTTTATTATCACTTGTTTCCACGAAGGGTTGATGCTCAAGTATTGTGTGTCTGTCTTTGTGCGTGTGTTCATATTTCTGTCAGTTAGCAAAACATGAACCACAGGACAGATTTATATTAGCTGGAAATGATTTCTGGGTGTACATCTCCAAGTGAATAACATTTGGAGTCAACATATTAAGATGGCCATAATAGCAATTAAACACTATCAAACACAAACTTGGCTATCCACACATCCATTTATTTATTTATTTTTCTGTTTTGCCTCTTTGGTCTGCAGCGAGCTGGGGCTTTTCTCCAGCAGTCACTGTCCAGGAGACGAGGTACACCCTGAACAGGTCTCCAGTCCATCACAGGGCCAAATGGAGACAAATGAGACAAACAACCAATCACACTCTCACTGACACTTAAGGGCCATTTAGAGTTCCCAGTTAGCCTAATGTGCATGTTTTTGGTCTGTGGGAGGAAACCAAAGTACCTGGAGAAAACCTGCACACTGGGAGGCAATCTCATTCCTGAGAGACAACTTTAACCACTGTTCTACTATGCCACTGCAAAACTAGCCATGATTTAGTATTTATTTTACAAAAACTGAGCTAAAACTTTTTTTTTTTTTTTCATAAAACAGTAATTTGGGCAGTTTTTAAAGCTAACAGTCAAAAATGAGAGACGTGGAGAAAAAAAAAAAAAAAAAATGTTTTTAGGATTTCTTTTTAACATCTACCAAGATGATTAAAATAATATCACTCACCATCCTGGTAAAACGATACACAGGATGTTTTTTGCGGGGGTGAAACAACAAGCCCCCCGCTGGATAAAATGTAATCCCCCCCCCCCCCCCCCACACACACACAACACACACCGTGCCATGATTTTTAGTAAAGATTACATTTTAGCAGCTGGGATACGTTTACATGAGAATGTGCTTCTGTCATAAGCTGGAACATTTTAACAGTCTGGATGTTTAAACACTTGGAATAAAGCGAGCAGAGAGAGAAGGAAGGATAGAATGAAAATAGCATTACCTGCATCCTCTCACATGATATGAGCTGCAACACTGAGCTTTTTTTTTTTGTGTGTGTGTGGATGCAAAGTTAATAAGATGGTGATAATTTAACACACATTACAGTCCAACAATTTTCAGTCAGGTCATATGGACATTTTCTTTTTTTGTGTGCTGAAACGTTTCACCTTCCATCCAGAAGGCTTCATTAGTCAAGGAAACACACAACACAAAACTGATTCTTCCCCCAACAGCTTCCTCCAAAGTGGAACAAACCAGTTATGTTGGTGCTAAGATGGTCTCTTTGGCACGCCCCCTCCTCCGGTGCCGGCCCTCTTCCTCGTCGACAGTCATTTCAAACTGGTTCAAAACCACACACTTATCTTACTACAGTGCTTATCTAATATGTAGCCAAAATAGCATTTAGGTTTTCTTGCCCAACATGCATATTTTTCACATTAATGCGTGTAAATTAACTGTTTGTTATTTGATAGATAAGATTTAGAAAAGTGTCATTGTGCATCATCATACTCTAGACATTTGTCATAACTGAACAGCTTCATATAGACATAATATATTGAGAGAGAGAGAAACATGTCCCAGACAACTCAAACCTAGTGTGTAAGAGGAGAGACAGGAGGGACTATTATGAAAATATAAGTCCCTCTACAACATGTACCAACTGACAAATTGAGGAAGTGGCTGATGTCAACAAATTTAACTAGTGGCTAGAGAAGGCTGGACTGGGACTGGGGTCTACCATACAAGACGGGACCCCAGATGTAGGCCGCACAAAGACACCCCTGAGACAGTTCAGTACATGATAGCAGGCTGTAAGATCTATACATAGAATGCCATAACCATGTCACAGGAAAAAAAAAATGTACAGGAACATCTAGCTGAGTAAGGACAAGAGGTCCCACAGTCAAAGTGGAAGACTCTTCCAAAGGTGGTGGGGCATTGCAGGGCTAAGACACTGAAGAACCTTCAGATCAACACACACAAACAGATGATGTCCAACCAATTGAACACAGGAAGTGTCGAGGTAGTACGAGGTAGTGAGGATAGATTAGCACTTCAGAATAACTGTAACATCCCAAAGAAGGAGCACACGTATCTTGAGCAATGCAGTTGACTGAAAGACCTGACTGAAAGCCTCAGAGGTGTAAGTGGTCATCGACGCATCCTGCGCAGTGACCCCGAAACTGGAAAAATGGTTCAAACATATCACAGGAGCAACATCAGAGATCTCTGTTTGGAAGAACACAGTTCTAGGAATACTGCATAGAACTGTCAAGATCCCAGGCAGCTGGTAGGACCAAAGCTTGAAGTGATAACGCACCCGTCCTGGGGTGAGCATGGTGTTATATTGATATATACAATCTTGAAAGCTGACATTTGGAAAGATGCTTTTGGAAGGAAGAGAGTGAAAGGTTAAAGTCAATGAGTGACTTCCACTGCCATGGCAGCATTTACTGTATATTTATTTATTTTTCTTTGTGTCAAAATGCAAGATAAAAGAAATGCCTCAGTCTTTATTAATCTGACGGGAGCTAAACGTACCGGAGTCAAGTGTGAATTACCCCACTTGTGCCTCTCTGTAACACTTTGCGACAGAAATATGACACGGCACAAATCTGAAGTGCTGCAGTCATATTAAGAGGCAGGCTCCAACAGCGGGGGTGGGTAAATTTGACATATAATCAGCTGTTCAGAGGAGTATGACATATTGTGTAATTAAATAGGGAAAAAAAAAAAAAAAAAAAGCACTGGCCAACCGTTCCTCCTCCATGGTTCTAACTGCAGTAAATAGCTGCTGCACCTACTTCTTTTTTTTTTTTTTTTTTACATAACCAAATACATTATAAAAGTTAAATTAGAGACATTTGAGTCACAGCTCAGATATGCTTTTATTTATTTTTTTTTCACCATACTTAATCATACATAAATATTGTCAGCTGGTCCACCCACTGACATTTTCTTTAACACATTGCATGTATTTGTTTGCCCGAGAAGGCAATTTATGTCAAAACAACGAGGCATTAAAACGGTAACTGTAAACAGAATTTTGAGTTGCAGAACTGTTTTTCACAAGCTACAACTGCTGACAGTAGATGATGGCGAGGAGACGGTGTTCTCAGATGAAGTAAAATATCACATTTGTATGCTAACAAGTACATTAGTGCAATTAAATTCTTACTAGAACAACACTGACTGTTTGCAACGCTTGAGCATTTTTTGTCTGCCTTTCTTTACCACTGTCGTGTTTTAGACAGCCACTTCGTCTCTGTTCATTACCTGATAGTGTAAGGTATTTAAAATACCAATTGCGGTTACTTTGAAAGGTCGATGAAGCTAAAAATGCTCCTATTTTTTTTTGTGTTTGAAAACAGGTTTGTGAGATCTGCCCTTTTTTTTTTAAACTAACCCAAAAGTATATTCTTACATGAAAATGTGTTAAAGAATATGGCAAACATAAGAAGCTTAAAATTCAGCAATAAAAGGGAGGATTATCCTGCTTTTCTTTATTTTTGTTTCAACATATTCTTTAAACATTTAGATTGGAAGCAGAAAGACAAAGTTACTTTTTGGGGGCTAATATATTATAGGCCTTTTTTCATCATGAATTGAAAAGGGGATATTAGAAATACCATCCATACTGTGCATCCATCTGTGCATGTTGTGAGCAAAATAACTTAAAAAATAACTAAGTTGCTACCTTCCATTTTTGTGTACGACTACATCTGGGCATAAAAACGGTCCCTATCAAAAATTGGGTTATCACGTCAAAATCAAAGATGACCACCACCATAAATATACTGTATGTAAACCAAACCTCCCATAATTTAGTAAACTATAGTTTATGTAGTGCAGAAAAAGTATAGTTTCCTTAAATTATTGGGGTGGTCAGAGATTATTTTATGGTGGCCAGGGCCATCATTGGCCACCCCCTGGCACCACCACTGCACAGGTAGTGGATATAATTGCTCCATCTGCTTGACAGGATCTATCACTCTGTGCTGACTGGGACAATCAAAAATAATTAAAAAAATAAATAAATAAAAAAATTAAAATAAAAAATAATACATGTCTCCTTATACACAGTGCAACCAGCTTTATTACTTATTAATTCCTCTAATTATGTAGCCCATAAAAAAAAATAAAAATAAAAATAAAAAAATAAATGAAATAAACAGACAAAATAAATGGTAAGATAGATGCACTTTTTTTTTTCTCCCTTTCGTGTAAAACAAATCTTAAATGTGAAGGAAAAAACACAAGTAGAATGTTGTTTTTGTTTTGTTTTTCCTTTTTTTCTTTTCACCCGCATCCCCCACCCCAAAATGGAGGCAGTAATTGAAGAGACAGATTTTTTTTATTTTTTTTTATTCCAGACACAGAACATTTTTGATGGCAGTGTGTGTCACTTCATGTTCTTTTGGAACTTTTTTTCCTTAACAACTTGTCCTCGACTAGCTTGTTCTGACTCGTGTGTGTGTGTGCATGTGTGTGTGCGTGTGGGGGGTGGTGGGTGGTGGTGGTGATTGGTTGGTTAGCTTTCTGATCTATACACTAAACTTGAGCAATATGCTTATTCACTAAATGCCACCTCTACTTAAACTGTGATTCCATGTTTTGTTTTGCCTTTATCAGATGCCTGTCTTACTGTAATTGCACAGCTTTCTGATGATTTTGCATTCTGCTCTGTGCATACAGCATTATTTAAAAATAATGTATACTTTTTTTAAAGTAGTAATTATTCATGATGTCATGTTCAACAGCTAGCTTATTTCGAGACTGACAAGTTGATTGTTTTTTGTCATCCAGCAGGACATGCAGCTTTCTAAAACAAAACATGAGACCAGGATTCAGATCTATTTTGTTGTTGTTGTTGATTTCTGAACAAGATGTACATGCTTTGATGACTTCTCTGTCTCATTCAAAATGTGGATGAAAAAATGCTGATGTAGCACCTCACATTAATATAGACTCTTGTGTTTGTGTGTAATAATAATGAGAATAAAATGATCAGACACAGTTCTCTGGTTATACAATTGTAAAGTGTTATATACGTCAGCCTAGTTGTACTGTTTGTTTCTCCTTTTTACTCCTTGTCATTGTTAATATTATCTTACCATCTGTCTGTTTTCACTTCCTCAGCCGAATGTGGGGGGACCATCAAGGACGAGCCTTCCGGTCGTATCCTGTCTCCGGGCTACCCGGCTCCATATGAGCACAACCTGAACTGTGTTTGGACCATCGAGGCAACTCCAGGAAGCACCATAAGGTCTGAGCAAAAACTCCAGTTTATTTTATTATGACATTGTTTTTCTAGTAGATTTTTTGTTCCCCTCATTTACCACTTTTCAATATACTTTTAGTTTAGTACTCCATTCCATTCTGGAGACATATTCATCATTCTCTCAGGCTGCTGTGCAATCAGTCTTCACTGAGTTTGTCAGTAGCTGAGTTACAACAGGGTGGAAAGAAAACATGGCACCTCTGAGTCTAAAGTGTTCGCACTATGCTAAGTTCAGTGGCAATTTTAACCTCTTATTAGGGGTGATAAATTTTAACTCGACACCCGTGAAAAATTAAGAAACCAGGAAGCTTAGTTCACAAATTTTAGATTCACTGAAGTATTTAAAAAATATGGAATAAATGACACTCTTAAATGGGACTGTAAAATGTATGATTTCTTTACACAAATAAAAAGCAGGGTTGGGCCTGGTAAGTACTTGGATGCGAAACCGCCTGGGAATACCAGGTGCTGTAAGCTTTTGCACTTCTCAAAAATCACACAATGGGGTGCGTTTTTCAAGCCAAGAGCCATTTGTCAGTAGTGGGGGCTAAGCACCCCGAAAGGTAAGATCCTTTTGAGATTTGAGATTTTTGTTCTGTTACTTGAAAATTATTATGATTGAAATAATTGTTCGAAAAAAGGGGCAGATATAATAAGATTTTTTCTTCTTTCTGCTGCCTTTCATTTTAAATCTTTTGTATCTTTTTTTATATTCTTATGGAATTGTTTTGTACTTTTTTTAAATGAATAAACTTTATACCATACCATACCATCCTAAATTCGCCTCTGGCATAGTTCACAGTTTTAATCAAAATGGAGCAACAAAAAACAAAACAAACAAAACAAAAAAAAATGTTTGGGTCGGTTTGACAGGAAATGGTGTTTGATTTATCAAAGGTCTTAAATATGTATTTATTTTTTTATTTTTTTCTTCATGTAAGATGTGTCATGTCCTGATCAATAAGATACTTAACTTTTTAACAAAACCTTTTTTTTTTTTTTTTTTTACATAATATATTCATTCAACCTTTATTTAAACAGGTTAATCCCATTGAGCCTTGGGGGCTCATTTACAAGAGAGACTTGGATTTAACAAAGAATGATGACAATAGTAGACAATCATAAAAAAAAAAAAGCATACAAATTGAGAAGAACAAATACAAGAAGATGGGATAAAAAAAAAAACAGCTAGGTTGTAAATGTATGTATGTATGATCAATCTTATTGTATATATTGTATGTATGATATTAAAACTTCTCTGACTGATTTTAGCCTAAGTGCAAACTCAAAATTGCAATACATTTTAAATTAGCTGTGAGTAAAAATATTTAGACCATCCAATTCTGAAGTAGTTTTGCCCACTGAAAGAGTGGGCGTTTTAAAAGTGTTATATTTAAATAATATACTATCTGCTACTTCATGACAATACTTCATGATGAAGCGACAATAATATTTGTTGTAATAATCTTGATTGCTGAGATACCTAAAGATACTGCTCATAGAACTGTATTATTCAGCTAAGACCTACATTGTTTTATTCCTATTAATAAAAAAAGTTAATTATATATATATATATATATATATATATATATATACATACTGTACATCCATTATCTTCCACTTATTCCGAAGTCTCCCCAGCGTGCCCTGGGTCTTTCCCGGGGTCTCCTCCCAGTTGGACATGCCCAAAGCACCCCCCCTAGGGAGGCGCCCAGGGGCATCCTTACCAGATGCCCGAACCACCTATCGCTAACGGAGAGTCCAGCTACCCTGCGGAGAAAACTCATTTCACCCACCTGTATCCACAATCTCATTCTTTCGGTCACTACCCAGAGCTCATGAACATAGGTGAGGGTAGGAACGTAGACCGATCGGTAAACAGAGAGCTTTGCCTTAAAGCTCAGCTCTCTCTTCACCACAATGGACCAGTACAGAGTCCGCAATACTGCAGATGCTGCACCGATCCGTCTGTCAATCTTACGCTCCATTCTTCCCTCACTCGTGAACAAAACTCCGAGATACTTGAACTCCTCCTCTTTAGGCAGAACCTCACCCTTGACCTGAAGGGAGCAATCCACCCTTTTCCGGTTGAGGACCATGGCCTAAGATTTGGAGGTGCTGATTCTCATCCCAGCCGCTTCACACTTGCCTGCGAACCGCTCCAGTGAGAGCTGAAGATCACGGCACGATGATGCCAACAGGACCACATCATCTGCAAAGAGCAGAGATGGAATCCTGATGTCACCGAACCGGAAATCCTCCGCCAGTTGGCTGCACCGAGAAACTCTGTCCATAAAAGTTATGAACAGAATCAGTGACAAGGGGCAGCCCTGGCAGAGTCCAACTCCCATCCTGAAGGGGTCCGACTTACTGCCGGCAACGTGAACCAAACTCTCGCACCACTTTTTATAGGGACTGAACAGCCCATAACAACGGGCCTCCAATCCTATACTCACGGAGCACCCCCCACAGTGTACGCTGAGAAACACGGTCGAATGTCTTCTCCAAGTCCACAAAACACATGTAGACTGGATGGGCAAATCGCCATGACCCCTCAAGGACCCTAGTGAGGGTAAAGAGCTGATCCAGTGTTCCACCGCCAGGATGGAACCCACACTGTTCCTCCTCGATCTGAGGTTCGACCAACGATGGGACTCATTTCTCCAGTACCACTGAATAGACCTTTCCAGGGAGGCTGAGAGTGATGCCTCTATAATTGGAGCACACCTTCCGGTCCCCCTTTATGAAGAGGGGAACCACCACCCCAGTCTGATATTCCAGTGACACTGCCCCCGATGTCCACGCAACGTTGCAAAGGCGTGTCAGCCAAGACAGCCCCACAACATCCAGAGCCTTAAGGAAATTAGGGTGAATCTCATCCACTCTCGGATATATATATGTATATATATATATTCAACAATGCATAGAGACAAAAGCTCAGACAGCAGCAATTGTTAAAGATTATTAATGTGGTAGCAGCACTATTAGTATTTAGGACAACTGTCTTTGTTTTTATTTCTTCTAGGAAGCTTTTTATCTTTAGTTTACCGTTTGATTCACGTAATAAAAAATACATTTTAGTTTATTGATCTCTGCACTCTTTCATTTTGCATCATAGCATACAGCTTTGTATCAACTGTGTGAATTTATTCAGATGTTTTGCTCTCCCTTATTCTGCAATATTTGACATTCCCCCATCTCTCCTGGTTTATAGTTTAGGCTGATTTGTGCCTGCACTACCCCTGGCTCTCTGGCACAACTCTGTTAGGTATTCTCCATATCTGTGCCTTTGATCCTACGCACTCAATTCATAATTGAGAAGAATTTGCAATGCATTAGCCCAGGGATTTCTTGCATACTGGAAGATGCCGATGAAGACGGCACACAGCGAGCTGCACAGAGTTTACGTGAAAGCAGCAGTTGTGCGACAGCATCTAAAATGCCAGCTGACAGATCTGTCACGAGTTACTGATGATTGTAGAATATAGACAGGAAGCAGAGGGTGGAAAACTTGCACATGAAGATGATACAAGAGAAAATAAACAGTGTTGAAGAGGGAGGCAATGAGTCATTTTACTGATGGGACTACCAGTGGTCACAGCTGCACAAATCAAATGAGAAATCCTGATTTAGGATATTGAGATTCAGTTAAACAGATGTTGTTAAATGAGAAAAATATGTTGTAGAAATGGTGTACAGTTTTGATAAATACAGTATTCCGACAGTTAACATCAATGTTAGTGATTAATACTGAAAGACGGCCCAATATGATCCGGGTTTTAGCTTGATTATCTTTATCTTCATGCCTTTGGGACCATTATGTTACACAACAGCTGCAGCAAAACTTTTGACTGAAGGGTCCACAGTTTATGCCACAGCCTAATAGGAGACAACACTGTTCTGGTTTATCACCCATCTATTCAAACAAAAGTAGTAATGTTTTTCAATGATTTCTTACCAAGAACACAATGCTGTTTCTGTGTCCTTGTTGTCCCTTAGTGATAAATTATCCATCTCTTGAAAACAGTCAATCTCCTCAAAGAGTTTTCCCTCAAAAACAAGCACACTTGTTTCCAGTTCACCGCCTGTGCTTTGACTTGCAGTCGTCTTTGTCTGCTGCGTCTCTAGTGCACAGTCACAAAAATCTGGGCTGCATATGACTGTCTGCAGATGGGACCGGCAGACCCTCATGGACTGGCACACATACAATTTACATCACACAGACTTTACAGTTGAGTAGAAGGTCGAGCGAACCAATAACATTAATTCTGTCTTTTAGGGCTCAGTGGTTATTGTAGTGCTCTGAGACAACATCTATTGTGAATTATTGTTATATAAATTAAAATAATTCTCCTTCATGGCAGCACGGTGGCGCAACTGGTAGAGCTGCTGCCTCTCAGCGAGCAGGTCCCTGGTTCAAACCCCGGTCCAGGGGCCTTCTGGGTGGAGTTTGCATGTTCTCTCCGTGCATGCGTGGGTTTTCTCCGGGTACTCCAGTTTCCTCCCACAGACCAAAAACATGCATGTTAGGCTGATTGGTAACTCTAAATTGTCCCTAGGTGTGAGTGAGAGAGTGAATGGTTGTTTGTCTCTATGTGGCCCTGTGATGGACTTGCGACCCGTCCAGGGTGTACCCCGCCCCTCGCACAGTGATTGCTGGACATGGGCACCAGCGACCCCCGTGTAGTGAACCAGATGACCTCAAATCTACCAGATGGACAGAGACTGTTAGTTTCATTGATCTGAATTAGTCTGGGCCATCTGATGACTTTCTTTCTTGAATTAATCAAGCAGAAAAGACAATCCTCTATAATCATTACTGTTTTACAAATGTTTTAATAATCAATTGTGGTAGTTTCACTCAATGCTTATAGGTTGAAAAGAACTACTCATCTTTATTTTACATAAACAGTAAGTAATGATTTTTATTCCTCATTCCAAGAAGAAATCACCTGAATAAGCATCCCTTGATTTTCTGTCTGAAA